GGACAAACATTAATCCTCTACATCAGGGGTCCCCAAACTTTTTCCTGTGAGGGCCACATAACTTTTCCCTTCTCTGATGGGGGCCGGGTCAGTTTGTAACAGAAAAAGTGTGACGATCGCATGGGTGTCTAAACGTAAACATTTATTGTTTTCTAGAAAGCCACACATAACCAAATATTAATAACCCTTTCCGGGATCTTCACAGAAAAAAAGTCAGGAAATAAATAATAACACTATTAATGAAATAAATAACACTATTTATGAAATAAATAATAACCAAATAACCCTCTCTGGGTTCTTCACAGAAAAAAAGTCCATTGAAAATTACTGTAACTTTCTGTTGTGCCTTGCACAATCTTAACAGGTAAAAGTTTAGCTTAGTTGTCAGAGCAGAATCTCTCAAAATAAACGTGGATTTACGTTAAAAAAACTATTTTTTCGGAGTTCGGGTGTTTTGTTTGATTTTAAACAAACAAAGTCTTGGCTTTCCGAATATGAAACTTTTATTTCCAATTTATTTATTTCTCACTCGCAATCTGCTCTTCCGCAGCGCCGCCCCCCCCCCTCACTCCACTGAAATTATGAATGTAAGAGTATAGTAATCATAGATAACACTGCAGGGTCCGTTACAGTTTGTTTTCATCTGATTTCAATTAAACAAAGTCTTGGCTTTCAGAATATTAAACTTGTTTCGGCAAATTCAGATGATAAATACAACTTTGAAGCTTCGGCATAATTACAAGCGGAGAACGGAGTAACTTGACGTCACAGCAGGCATAACAACAGCCGGTGTTTCTCGTGATTGTTTTCCCCGGGAAACAAACACAATACACACAAACGCAAAATTACACAAGCACACACACTCACACACACACACGTATACACACACACTCGCGAGCTTCCCCTCCAAACAAAAATATCTTCCCTCGGTAGTATTTTGATCATTTGCTCCGCTAATAATCAATCAGATCGATGGATTCCAGAGAAGAGACAACTTTGAAGGCCTTTTTCTCAAAATGATGACTCGGTGACAGTCATTATATAATGTGACATATTTCGCTTAATATTTGAAGTACAAAAACAATCCTGATATCATTAGAAAGCTAGGAATATCCTCTTTCCAACAGTGTATTCAACTCAAAATGTGTCTTCGGGTCAATGCGACTGATTTAGATAGAGCAGGTCACAACATTTTGACAGGGGCTAGTCTAGGATTCGCATGGCCAGACTGAATTATTATTATTTTTTTTTAAATAAAAAAAAAATTTAATACAAAAAAAAAAAAAAAATCATAATGCGTCTCTGGTATTGTTCAGGGGGCCGGGTCAAATGTGGAGGCGGGCCGTACCCGGCCCGCGGGCCTTAGTTTGGGGGCCACTGCTCTACATCAACCTCATAATGACTTGTCTATTGGCAGGCATATTCAGAGTCACAGCTCTGTAAATGCTTGGTTGTAATTTGGTGTAATATTACAGCTGACAGGAGGCCACTGAAACAATGAGGAGCTAATAATAAGCGCAGTGTTGATGCTCATTTTGTTAGCTCTCCAAATTAGGCCATTGTTTGCTGTTTTGCAAACAACATTTTATTCCTGGACCTGTTTCTGGGTTGCTGTAATTGTATTCATCCTGTAGAGATGAATGCTGTGACAACTCAATAGCTATGCTTGTTTCTCCTTTTGGTAAATAAATGAAGAAATGCTATAAGACATTCTTATTCAACACGGCCAAGCTCGGGTTTAAAGCGACGTACTCTACCTTTCAAACGAGGAGCTAGAATTTAAGGTGACATTTTACTCAAAAGTTGGCAGTGTGTTCACACTTTAACATGGGCAAAGAAAATGTTGTTATTTATGGCTAAATAATTGCACTGCCACTGTGAGAAGTGTTCATGTTTGTCACCCTGGGGCTGTCCGTGCTCAAAATACAGCTTCGTAATGCCATTTAAAGAGACTCTTTTATTTTTTCTGGTGTTTTCCCCTCCCTGTAGTGTGTTCTTTAAGTTTTTGTGCATGTGAATGGACTGCAAAGGCTAAAATCCCTGAGTTTCTCTCCTACAGCTTTTTGAACATTAAAGGTAATCTGGAACAAACTACCAGAAACCTGCAGGTCCGCTGCAACTCTGACTACTTTTAAATCCAGGCTGAAGACTTTTCTTTTTGCCGCTGCTTTTAATTGATATATTCATGTCTTAAACTGCGCTGTAACTTTTATTGTCTTTGCTTTTTAATGCCATTTTCTTAATGTCTTTCAGTTTTGTAAAGCACTTTGAATTGCCTTGTGTTGAGTCCCCCCAAAGGTAGTCATTATTGGGGTTAGAGTCCCCTCGTAGGTGGTTAAAGTCCCCTACGTGTGCCGTTTTGGTTTCAAGACTCTGGTTCACGGAGGACACCAAAAAAGTCCTAGAAAAGACAACTTAAACTTAACTAATGTGCATTTAAAGAAAAGAGGAATAGTTTTGGCGAAAACTAAAAAGGTGCCATGGGGTACAGGAATCCGTTTTGGTTTCAAGACCCTGTTTCACGGAGGATACCAAAAAAGTCCTAGAAAGACAAGGTAAACTTAACTATTGCCCCTTTCACACCAACGCGGTTCCCGTTCTAGCGCCGTGCTAGAGATTTTCTGGTTCGGAACCGGTTTTTCTTTTCAGCCCCCGTTTTGTTCACATCGCCCAGAGCCCGACTGGTGCTGCCGCTGCTGCGTCATGACGTCACCGTTTACGTCACTGATTTTCTCCCCAACGGCATTACGGCGCTCACAACAACAACTGCGTCGGGTCGATGATCGTGTTGCTTTTAATCATACGAAGCCAGATTAAATTAAATAACGACTTCTCCAACCTTATACTTTTCTCCAGAGTGCCGTGGTTCATTGTTTATTAATGTGTTTCAGCGGTATTTACCGACCGCTGCAGTGCTGGCTGCTCTTCCACCGGAGTTTATTCTCCCGTTAGCTCCGGGTTAGCTCAGACGGCAGCGGCCGCTCTAAAGTATTCACTGTCTGACTGTCACACAAGCAGCTGATAAATATCCCCAGTTCTCTATAAGTGAATGTGTGTCAGTCTGAATTGACGCTGTTTGGCATCACAACGCTGTTATGAAAGTTTCTCTGGTATAAAATGGGTGATGTTAGCATAGCAACCGAAGCTAAACTGACTATCTTGACTACTTGTTGTCGCTATCCTATTGTGGCATAAGCCGTTTTCTACAGGCACATTTTACCGGCGTATTTTTCATTATGATTCCTCTTGTGATAGTCGGACATGACAACCTGTGCAGCCCATGTATTGATTCCATCCAATAGCTGCTATAATACAAAACAAAACGTCTGTCTCTCTCCACAATGATCAATAACAGCTAACGGATGGTCAAAGTAAGGTACAAATAAACAGAATCACACAAAGCCTTGTTAGTGTTGCCTGACTTTTTAAAGTGTGTTTTTTTTTTATAAGTGTGTGGTTGCATTCTAGTCACTTTGCTCAGCACTACTGCTTGTTACAACTTGTATTTGCCGTACTCGCCTTTAACGGCCCGTCCACACAGCGGCGTGCGTTGAAAGCTTCACCATTCACTTTGAATGGGGTGACCATAGTTAATCGCGATTAATCGCATATTTTTTATCTGTTCTAAATGTTCCTTAGAGCAGTGCTTCTCAAAGTGTGGTCCGTGACCGCCCCCTAGTGGTCCGTGAGTATATTGGTACAATTTCACATTTTAAATAAATTAATAAATTAAAGTTGTACGCACTCTCGCGGGAATATCTCCGCAATGGAGCGAGCTTAAGTTTCACTTTCGATGGTATGATATAGCCCCGCGCAACACCTTCATCACACATGTTGCCACTTGTTTGTACCATTTTCAGGCTATTTGTAATCTGTTCTAGAAAAACGATGTGATTTTGGATATTTGTGGAGTTAGGTGGTCCGCGAGTGTTTTTTTATTGGTTAAGTGGTCCTTGGTATGAAAAAGTTTGAGAAACACTGCCTTAGAGTGATATTTTTCAAGTTTTGAATACTCTTATCAACATATGAGTGGACAAATATGCTTTATGCAAATGTTTATTATCATTTGAACAATGACAAATATCCTCATGAATATTAAACACAACAACCTCTGAACATTACAAATATTCGCCTCAATTCAACCTGGAACCTCTCATACAATAATACAATACAGTGTGTGTGTGTGTGTGTGTGTGTGTGTGTGTGTGTGTGTGTGTGTGTGTGTGTGTGTGTGTGTGGAGACACTGTGATGGATCGTTGGAGCTATGTGCAACTCAAGGCATATGCTCGAACGGGAGCTGCCTGGACGCTGCAATCATGTTGCGCGCACTATCCGTGCTGAGTGTGCTGACTTTGCTCGGCGCAGTTGTCGGCGAAATGTCGCTCCTCTGTTTTCATTGAAACAGCTCCTTATATCCGTTAGCGCAGCTAGCTAACAAAAACAATACACGTAAGCAGGGCCGGCCCTGACCAATTTGCCGCCCTAGGCGAGATTTTAGATGGCGCCCCCCCCCAAACTTTTTTTTTTTTTTAAATTCCAATGTTAATACAATCACACAGAAGCTGTATACGTTTTTTGGGATATTTTTTTATTTTAACACAAATACAACATTAAAACCTATAATTGCAGTCAGCAGCCTCGCCAACACACCAGTGCTTTCTAAAGGCCTATTCACACATGGCCCCTCCACTTGCTCCCTGCTGAGGTCAGACAGGGCAACAAGTTGCTCCTCTGCTGACAGGCACACAATCCACCTGTACTGATATACAGTCCGTGAGAGACTAATTGCCTCACCTTAAGAGCTGGATGTGTAAGAAGTACAACCCAGAAACATTTACTAATTTAAAACAAAAGCTGCTTTGCTGAACACTTAAACATACTACTTTTGGGTACCGAAATATTTGCTATCAATCACTTCAGTCTTGGTTAAAAGCAAGATTTAGCCAAAATCCAACCATTAAAATACTACAGGCCTCAATCTCACACCTCAACACCTTACCTTAGCCTGACTCTCCTTGCCTTTCTTGAAGCAAAATGATCTATGACATCATCATAAGACAGCTGTTTTGAGACCACATGGTTGATGCTTATGATGGATAGTCCACTGAGACGTTCTTGTCCCATAGAAGCTCTCATGTAAGTTTTGACCAGTTTGAGCTTTGAGAAGCTTCTTTCAGCAGCAGCCACTGTAACAGGAAGAGTGGCAGAGATTCTCAGAGCAACCCACAAATTGGGGTACATTTCTGTCAGCTTCTTCTCATGAAGGAAGGTCAATAGTTCCATGTTTGTCATCTTCTTTGATGGCAAATGTGGAACATTTTGCATTTCTGCAGCAAGTTCCCTGCCATCAATGTCTGGTTGTCCATCATGGGTCAGAGCAGAGCTCAGGGTTTGACAGTGCTTTGGCAGTTCTTCGTTTGATGTGGTGGGAAAGTTGATGAGCACTCCAAACTTGTCATTTACCTCTTCAAGGTGCTGAAATCTCTCATCAAGTGAAGAGAGGGCTGTATCCACAACCACATTAAAAAATGTGATTTCCATTTTTTTAAGTGCATCATCAATAGGCTCATCTGGAGACTCATAACCAAACTGCCGTTTTGTGGATCTCAACCGCTTTTGCTTGAGAACAGACTCCACGTTCATCTCCTCACACATCTCCTTTGCAGTTGTCTGTGCATCAGAAAATCCAGTCCTTCTGTAGCAGGTGAGGGAATCTCCTGTTTTCTTCAGCAGGTCGACAGCCACATCTAACTGCATGGAGGGTGACTGCATCAGTTTGCTCACATGCTGGATCTTGTAGAGGATGTCATACCATATGGTTGTGCAAATGATAAAACGGTAAGATCCAATCTCCTCAGCCAAGACTGGGCTTCAACTCTCACCACAGGGTCTGCAGTTGTTTCCCTCACCTCCAGAAGAGCCTCTCTGATTTGCCCAGCCTGGTACATTACTGCCTCAACGCTTTTTATCCTGCTTTCCCATCTGGTCTCTGACCACGATTTCAGGGTTGTTTTGACATGTTTCAGCAGGATGTCCCATCTATGCGTGGAGGCAGAGAAGAGTTTGTACAACTTTGTTAAATAGCCAAAGTAGCCTATAGCATCTGGTGAGCTCTTTGCAGCATTAGCTACCACCAGATTTAAGGTGTGGAGCACCACAAGGGACAAAAAAAGCTCTTGGGTTCTGCTGAAGCAACCTAGCCTGAACACCTTTATTCTTACCCCTTCATGTTGGCACCGTTGTCATACGACTGTCCTCTGCAGTCTCAAAGGGGATGTTAAGTTCCCTCCAGCCTTTTGAGAATGAGCAATGTCAACTTTCCCCTGTTGACTGCTCTGCCACAAGAAAGCCCAGGAAATGTTCTTTAACCTGTGGTTTGTCTACTAGTGATACTATCCTGACAATAACAGAGAGTTGTTCTTATGACTCAGATCAGGAGTGCAATCCAAAATGATGGAGAAATACTTACACGTTTTTATCTCTTCCACAATTGTGTCCAGTATTTTAGAGCTGATTGAGTCAATCAGTTCATTTTGAAATTATTTTGCCCATATAATGTGTGTGACTGCCAGCTCCACTTGCCACCCTACCAACATGCCTGCTTTATGACTGGATCGAATTTGGCCATAAGCTCCACTTCTTTTAAAAAGTTGCCATTGTCTGGTTGGTTTAATGTGTCTGTGGACCCCCTCAGAGCCAGGGTTTCTCTCTGCTAAGGACTGAATTATTGCCACGAATCGGGTGGAGAACGTCGCGCCACCTATTTCTCTCAGCCTGAGCAAGGGCCATCTCTTGCATATCTATTGTAAGCCCCCTGGCAAGACGGACGTCTAACTCCTTCCATGTTGCCATGTTTGTGTTGTGCTCCTTGCTTTCTTCATGTACCTTGAGCAAGTGACTTGCATTTTTCCAGTCCTTTAGTCCTTCCCTATTGAGTATGTAATTTCTCTGTGAAAACATTTTGCAGCAGAAGCAGTGCAAGCTATCATTCTTTTTTGAATACATCAACCAGCTTCTTTTGATTTTTTCTCCGTTGATTAAGACTCTGTTAAAATAGTCTTGCTGACACCTTCTCCCGTCTTTTTGTTTGGGAAAGATAAAACTAGGTTTCATTTGATATGGTCCACTCTGAACAAACTCTGTCCTGTCATTATCAGTAAGAACAGATGGCCAGTCGGCAGGGTCTATTGGTGAAGCCTTTATCCCTGATGCTGTATAACTTGGCTCTGCTGAGGTGGAGGGGACAGGAGCGCTTGATGCTGTATCACTGGGCTCTGCTGAGGTGGAGGAGACAGGAGCGCTTGATGCTGTATCACTGGGCTCTGCTGAGGTGGAGGGGACAGGAGCGCTTGATGCTGTATCACTGGGCTCTGCTGAGGTGGAGGGGACAGGAGCGCTTGATGCTGTATCACTGGGCTCTGCTGAGGTGGAAGGGACAGGAGCGCTTGATGCTGTATCACTGGGCTCTGCTGAGGTGGAGGGGACAGGAGCGCTTGATGCTGCAGGGCTGGGCTCTGCTGAGGTGGTATGAGGCCCAAAAAATTTCAATAGTGCATCTGGAGAGAGAAGAGAAGTATATGTGACCATCAAGAGATGTATTATATTTGCTAGACCAAATTATATTATAGAAATCAGAAAACAGGAGCAGCTCACAAAATAATTAGAATATCATGGAATATATTGCCTCCATGTAGAATTGATGCATTTATCTCTGCAAAAGGAGCCCCGACCAAGTACTGAGTACATATTTGAATAAACTTTTCAGAAGATCGAAATATCTGTATTATAAATCCTTATCTAATATTATACTAGATACAGGATTATTGATTTTCATGATCTGTAAGCTGTAATAATCACAATTAAAACAAAAAAGGTTTGAAATATTTCACTTCATGCATAATGAATCTAGAATATATGATTAATTGTTTTATTAAATTAAAGAAAAACAGTTCTATGATATAGTTATTCTTTTAGATGCACCTGCATATTCTGCGACTTACCAGATGGCAAAGAAGCAGCTACATACATTGTAATATAGCATATTAAAGATAAAGGCTAAGGTATGCAGTATTTACAGTAGTGACAAGCATTTTAACACTGATGTAAACGTTACACTATTGATTATTGAACATACTTTAGACAGCATAAACTGTAAGGCAATACAATTAAAGGCCTACAACTATAAATTATTGAGGGGATGTAAAAGGAATAGCATTTTAATGACTATCATTATTAGCCTATTACTACAAGCAGGGCAAACATTGGCTCACCTCAACAGATATAGTAGATGATATATAGCAGGTGATGTAACTCTTTCCAAATGTCCCTGAATTTAAGGTGGGAGTAACGGTAATAATTGACGTTAACTCTAAATGTAACTATTGATTAGCAAACAAACGACCTTGCTATCGTCTAAAAGTAAGCTAGCAAGTTTAAACTGTTCCATCAACGGTAACTACAATCAATTTTTTGACTTTGTTTAATCATCATCACATTAACGTTACTGTACCTTTGTCTTTCTCCCGTTTGTCCTCCTCCTCTTTTCTTTTCTTTCTTCCCTGGGCACCAGATAACTTTGTTCTTTTCGACATGCTAATTACCGTCTTTGTTTTCTTCTCCCGAGTCAAAGCAGGTCAAAGGCGGCGGGTCAAGTGTCAGTCAGTGACACTTGACCCGCCCCCCTCGCTCCTTGAGGACATAAACAGCCTGCGGGGCTGGGGCAGTTCAACTTACCTGAATTAGGGGGGGGGGGGGGGCGCCATAGTGTATGGGCTCTGTACGCAATATAGACGTAGTTCTGTTAAGATAAGATAATAAGATGTACTTTGTTGATCCAAAATCGGGAAATTGTTTTATTTAAAAAAAAAAAAAAATCACAATTGCATTTTATTTTTTTTAATAAAATATATATTTCCCCCAATTTTCGGCGCCCCCCTGGCTTGATGCGCGATTCGCCTATACTGCCTATGCCAAGGGCCGGCCCTGCACGTAAGGTGTGCCCGTTCTCTCTCTCGATCGCGCCACACATACACACACCCTCCCGGTCCTCCCGATGGCCAGTCGGTGCCTGCCGGTGAGCGTGGAAGTGTGGTCTGCCACAAGCGGGCGGCAGGAGCGGGGCTGTCAGCATCAGCTTGTAGATGGTATTTTAAACTCGATGCGCTCTGAAACTACGGGGCGGCCGAGGACAAAAAATACACATGCGTTAATCGCGTTAAAATAATTAGTGGCGTTAATTTTTTTTGACAGCCCTAGTATAAAACTTTTTAAAAAATTGATACAAAAAAGAGGGGCGGAGTTTATGCCTGCTCATGCGGGAGATTCTACCGTCAGATACTGCATGATGAAACGCCATATCATGGATTATCAAGGATTATTTCTGAAACAGTTTGGAGCTCAAAGGCTTTCTCTCTTGCCGGTTATACCACAAGGTGAGTTCCTTTTTATTTCCTGCTTCTTCACACACATGCTCTCCAGTACAGGTTAGCTCTGAGTGTTAGCGATGCTAATGTAAACACCGACCATATTACGTCCAAAACAGTCGGGCATTGTTTCTGATAGCAATGTTTCTGATAGTGCTGTGGGTCTGCATTGCCGATATGATGTCAAATCGCCGCAAATCTGTGTCAGCTCCGTTGTTCCCCCGTTTTTAGATATTTGGGTAGGGAGGAAAAGAGAGATGGTTTTATTTTCTGACGCTGCGTGAGTTCCCTGACACACCGGGGACACATATTTATGTATAAAAGACATCAAAAAGTGCATTTTGCATGATAGGTCCCCTTAAAGCATGTGAACATGTCACAGTAGAGGAACTAAATACAAATAAGAACCTGAAAACTAACGTGGTCAAAGAAAATGTTGTTAGTTTATGGCTAAAGCAATGCACTGCCACTGTGAGAATAAGTTAATGTTTGAGTCACCCTGGGGCTGTCCATGTTTCAAATTATGTTTGATGATGTCATTTAATAAATGTTTTTTTGTACACACACTGCTTGGTTTCTTGGTTATGTTTGCTATTTGACCATCACCTTTGTTCTATAACTGCAAACATACACACAGATACACAAACTGCTGTTATCTCCCCTCTATTCCTACCCAATTTGGATCAAAGTAAAGTTAAGGAAGGTGGGGAATGGACAGGAGCAGCCGGTGGGCAGACAGACCTGTTAGCATCAATAAAACCAATTGTGAAACTAATGATTTTCTCCACAGATATACTTCAAAGTGTTTGCCGCTAATCTACAAGGTTGGCAGGTGAGATAAGGAGTAATGAGCTGAAATGTATAGGTTATCTATTCATGCTGATTTATGAGGAAGTGGTAATTAATTATTCGTCTGTGATTTATTGTTAGTGGTGTGCCGATGTGTCGGGTAACATCAGCTCACCACACTTTGAGGGCCATAATTCGGGAGCTTTAAAGGTGAAAATCCCAGGAAATCTTTCAGGAAATTCAACTTTTGTCACGGTTTTATGAGCAACTTAAAGGGTTCACCTCTGACAGTACGTTGCTCTAGTTAATTTATCTTATCCCCTATTCTAATCCTGTTTTTGTGAATGATACAGTGGAAACCAGCTACAGGCTGGTTTATGGCCCGGCTTGGGGAGTAATTGATTACAGAAGAGGACACTTCCTAAATTATCCTAAATATCGTGGTTTCTTTTTTTACATATTACACTTAAGTTAAAAACATCTAGTTGTACTTTATTTTTCTCTTGTATTTATTCGCATTTCATTCAATATTAACGTAATCCTTAATAGTTTTAATAATATTTTGATATTGTGGTTTCCCTTTTCTATCGGTAACCAGTAAGTGTAACGGCATACATTTTAAAGAAACCCTCCCAACCCTGTATATTTCAGTCAATGTTGAACTACTGCATGATAATGGGTCAGATACAGTACAATGTAAAATAGAAATGATGCTAGAGAGGATGATTCATTTGATGTGCATTTTGACAGCAAGGCACTGCAGTTTTCTATTAGGGATCAGAATAAATTGATAGTAAGCTAAAGTGGTGCATTTGCATACTATTTCATACATGAATGTTTTATATTCAGGGACATTAACTGTCTCAAACAATTGGCTTTAGATACAGTATGAGGCGCCACTTGT